GGGGACGGGGACGGGGCATCCAACATACCGCTTCGAAGCTTGCTCTGGTTTGTCTGTGAGTGTGCTTTTCCAATTTTCCTTCTCCTGCGCCTTCTCCGCGATTGAATCAAGAACTTTCTGGAGAATGCTCAAGGAAAGTTCGGAATCACTTTCCGCCGGTTCCCCCTCCCGCGCGCCGTCAGCCATCCACTCCCCCGCCTTCCCGCCATGCGGCACTTTGGGGGTGGTAATGGCGCCGCCACCGCCGTCTCGGCTGTCTCCAGCAGCGGTCTCACTCTCAAGACGGGATCCAGACATACAACAAGGGCCACTCGTTCCCGCTTCTTTTTCACCGCTGCCACGTGTCCTCTGCTGCTCCTGCTCCTGCTGCTGCGGAGGAGGAGGAGGAGGAGGAGGAGTGGGACCCATCACAGCCTGGGAGGGATTACAGCGGAGGCATGACACAGCCGCATGCGTGATCAAAAACTTCCACAAATCCAGGACCATCGAGGAGGCTGAGCTGGATCTGGATCCCGACGCCACGTGGCAAAGCACACTCAATTGGTCCTGGAGCCAGCCAAAGACGTCTCGGATGACCGCCAGATGGAACACCTGAGGGCAATCTCCGACGCTGCTATCCTCTTGCCCCGATCGTCCAGTGATCCCGGTCTGAGATCCCGACACCGGCAGGCGGTGCAAATGATGACGTTGATCAGGAGTTCCTTGAGAATGGTGCTGATGATGATCAGTGGGACAAGGGAGAGTTGGAAGAAGTGGAGGAGAAGACACAGCAGGAGGAGGAGGAGGGGGACTGTCTCTTATACACATCTAGATGTGTATAAGAGACAGCATTATGTGTGTGTGTGTGTGTGTGTGTGTGTGTGTGTGTGTGAGTTAATGTGTGATGTGCATGATCTGCTTCAATATCTTCATGTGTGTGTGTGTGTGTACATGCGGGTGGTCTGGAACAGCTTTCGTGCAGCAGGAGCTGCATGTGCAGCATCTGCTGCATGTGCTACATCTGA